TATACGTATAGCGGATGATTTTTTTTTTGAAAATTAGTATTTATTGATTTTCAGCCCCCAAGTGACTGTGGACAAAACTAAGATTAAGTGCACATGTCTTACAAATTGAAATGGGCAGATACCATAAAGGTTAATATTACTGAAAGAACCTGTCAGTATGCGATACTAATGATATTGGAGATGAAGAGAAGTGACCACCATCCCTTGGGCAGGCAACAAATCATGATACTACCCTAACAGACATGTGTTATTATTATTATTATAAACAGAGATACATTACCTCTGTTATAAACAATATATTATAATATTTACATTGCAATATTGTTAGACGATTCTTTATGACAGCCACAATAATGGCTGATAATAGCGTTTTGGGGTTATTTTTCAGGCCAACATTTTCTTAGAACAGGGTCCATGTTTTGAATTCTGTCAATTTGTTTTGACGTACATCAACATATCACACCCCCTACACCCCGGCCCTTCACACACAATGCTGAAAATATTTGCACAATTACACAAACCAAATCGTGTGTAGGTACGACTTCTAGAACTGTGCCGAATTTACCTTGAAATGGTTAAAAACGTACTCCGGTTTCCTTCATTTACATAAACATGTACGGAACGTTGTTTACTGGCAAAGATATCCACATCTGAAGGGAAATTGTCGACACAGCCACATATCACAAATACGGAAGCGATTTGCTTTCACCTGTGTATCATTTCGCTAGTGAGTCGGTAAGCAAAATAGTGCATGGGAATGACTTAAATATTATTTTTTGTTCATAGGTTAGCAAATACAAACCTATATCTTTCATGTAGTTCTAACATAAAGATTTTCTGGAAAATTTTTGAATCCAGTCACCTGAGTCATAGTATTGATTGAACTTGCTGCGGACTAATACAATCTGCTGTTTGACCCCTGTGCAAAAGTAGACTTGACCCAGGTCAGAGCCTCGTTATTTTAATTATTGTCTACACATGCGCGTAGGAATTGCCTGTTTAAAATTTGGTGGGTTTGTTGATGTGTTCATTCATTTAGAAGCATTTTGTTGAAATACATGCTGCGAGTAAGTAAAGGTAAGGATCTGTGCTGTTACTAACTGTTCCAATATAGTTTTACTTGGATGTGACAATCAACGTTGTCAGTTATTGCTTCGTCCAGTTTATCGTTACGCGTTTGTTCCCTGCTTCTGACTATCGATGGATATAAGCGAACGCTCTCTCTCAGTCGGTAACTTTGTTTTGATTTGCTCAGCTGTGTACATACATGCATTACATGATATACGCATTACATGCATGCGTTTTACTATCGCATCTAAATACCATTTGACATTAACTACTATTTTTAATATTCTCGGACTTTTCTTCTAGTATTCCACACATTTTGATTTGTTTTTAAAACTGAATTTATTCAATATCTGCATGTTACGACTTGTAACTATTAGTGTTAGCAGTCACCGTGTATACCCACTGTCATGCCGGGACACGCGTACACCTACAGGAATATCAAACCTGAAATCTGTTAAACTCATCTCAGCATTATTCAGTACTTTCTGATATACTGCATTGTTAAAAAAAAACACAAAAAACTACAACATTTTTATGATCTCTTTTTTCTTGGCATCGGGGAGTTGTTGTAGAGTAGTCGTGAGTGCAGAGGCATGCTACATCAAAGCACAGCCCCTCTATCCCGGACTGTGAAAAAACATGTCCGGATAGGTTCATACGAATTATATTGGCTAACTTGGCGTTTATTAAAATATGCTGTTTTCATTATTAAATGTTACATAGTTAATCTGCTTGTAGTGGGTGACATGCAGTGAAGTTCTTTATTAATTATATCCGTCCAACCATAATCACATAAACTGGGGATTTTCAAGATTATATTTTAAATTATACTTGTGGCATATATGAAATGTGTCAGTAAAAACACTCAAATCGTTTGTGCAAGTACCATCATGATTCACTTATAAACACAAATCTCTATTTCCATGTTTTTATCACTGAAAACAAATTGCATCCCATATATAAATTAAACGCATACATGTCATAACAATGATTTGTAATTATGTTTGTCTAATCCTGTTACATCATTGTGATTTATACAGTTTGTGTATTTACTCCCTGATATCAAATATTCCATTACTGTACACTCTTCATTGACAAAGCACATAATCACCATCTGTTGCCAGCCATCATTGTAAAGATGCATGCAATTCATTTACCAAACTATAAAACACCTCATTATTTCATTGATGTGGTACTTCCCCTGTGGTTGTATGCATAATTTGAATAACTGTGTTACCACTGGATAATGATTTTCAGGAGGCAAGAAGAAAAAAGTTTTATCCCAGAAAGGGAGATATAAACTGGTTTAATTTTAGCAGATTTGATGATGTACAAATACAATGTATTTATTAAATGTAGGTTTTAAAACCACTGATTTGTGAATGAAACAGTATATTCTGTTGTTAAATTTCAATATTTGCAATGTTTTAATTTAGTACATTAGCTATCATTGAAAAATAACCAAATCACTATTTTGAGCTAACATGCACTGCTATAGAAAATGTACTTCTGATGCAGAAAATATAGTACCGTAGTGGTTACTGTTTTTTTGTTTTGTTTTGCTTCTTTTAAATCCACCAACTATCACTGAATCATTTTTATTATATAATTTATTACAGCAAATATATGTGTATGAAATAATTAAATTATTTAAATAATTAATTTTAGTAATAGGAAGTTGTTAGATGTTGTCTCCAGGAATAAACTATTTCTTTAAGTTCACTCTTGTATGTCTTTTTATAACTGTTCACAATGTGCTCAGTTACACAGGGATAGGTCAATAGCATATATTATTATTATTGCAATGGAATCACTTAATTATATAAATACTCATGAAAGAACCAATGTCTTTTCCATGCAATTTCAGTTTCAGTATTTTATACTTTACCTCTATTTTGTTTTTCTATTTTGTCCTATTAATTTTTTTACTTTTATTTAGTTAGTTTTGTTATTTTAGTCTTACAAATATATGTTATTTACCATTCTAAACCCTCTGATGTTTTTGGATGTGTTATTACTAAAATATAAATTTATTTCCAATATTCTTGTAGTAACTTTGTCAACTGCAAAGATTTTGTTTGACTATATTTTATCGTATTATATTTCCTTCTTTGGAACCATGATTTGTATTTATATTTTTCAGATTGCATTTGAGTACCAGTAGGTATTCAATATTCTGTACTTGGAATATTGAATTGTAAAAATATTGTTATTGCAGATATAAAATGACCAGCTCTAGCATTGATACAGATGAATTGTTGAGTGGTATTGAGCCACTCATCAGTAGTTTGACAAGTTCACCCGAGAAATCCAGAGATTCAAGTCCTCTCAAACTGAATCACCTGGAAAAAGGAAGTCCATCACCAATTTTGGATAGTCGCAGAAGTTGGTCTCAGAAGTCAGACTATGTGGGTACTGGTGGAAGGAGTCCTAGCTTTGAGATGCATGATACAATGAAGTCAGGAACTTCAAGTTCATCCTTGTCATCAAAACATCGACATTCCTCCCCTAAAGATTACCCTGTGTCAGGTATTGATAACAAGTATGCAAAGTCATTACCTTCTACTCCATTTTGTAGAGATCTTGCTAGTGATATCACACATAGACTGATGGCCTCTTTACAAGAAAGTAAAGAGTTGGAAGATTCAAGAAAAGCAAAGTCATTAACTTCTCTGACGACAGTTGGCCTGAGTGATGACATTGGGGATACCATGAGTGAAAGCTCTAAAGAACGGTCTCCAGTTAGTAGGCAACTTTTTACTCAAAGCCATGGGGTGTTTCTAACATCAGGGTCAAGTCTAGGATTGGATCCTAATGAAAAAACAGATGTTATTGAACATTCGTTCCAAGGAAAGAATTTTGGCAAGGAAGATATTAGAAGTCCGGAAAAGCTGAAACATGCCAAGAAAGTATTAGAGTCTGATGTATCTAGCGACAAAACTGTATCAACTGTTCGCCATACTCCATCTCCCAGAATAAAAAGTGGTTTACCACCACCTAGATTAAGTGAAACAAAGAACTCTCCTCAGAAGCCGAGTGACACCTCTATAAAAGACAGCAATCAGCTTGAACCTGCTCCAAAAGAGTTCCGTCCAAGTTCATGGCGAGAGAAATACGCAAGTTGTAAATCATCAACGCATAGACCTCGATACATGTATGGCCTTTCAGGTAGCTTGCCAAGTTTGAATAATATGGGATCTGCCGTTTTGTCTTCACTTGGCACTGACTATAAAACCAGTAATCAAGACAACAGTACAAAGGTGAGATAGTTATATAATTCAATCATTATTTACTGTATCACTTATATGCAGATACATTTACATTGTATAGAAATGTATCAGTTGTCTTGTAGTATCAGGTGACTTCCATATGTCAATGTTACTTGCCAAATGTGAATGTACATGTATATTGTATATTTGTATAAAGTCATACAAATTGTTCATTACTTCTAGGTTTACACACATTTTATCAGAGCCAAACTATTGTTTCTCTCACAAAATAACAGGAGATTATCTGTTTTGTATTTATGCTTGTGGTCAAACAATTACATGGTTTGAAGTTCGGCTCATTTGTTGTAGAAGCAAGCTGGTATAGCGTCAAGGTTTGTTGGAGCTAAACATGTTTACATTATCACTTTTGATGTCCCGCACTGTTGGGCTCTGATAAAATGTTGTTGCGTGCCTATTCTAATAAGTATTATGTTTTATATCTATATTGTATTATTGCATTCATACTCAGATGATGGATGGCTTAATAAAGGTAGGGTTATTTATTATGATTTATCATTTATATTTCTATACTGAGAGATGTTATCGTAGATTATCATCAGGTAATAATCTAATGTTCTGTTTTCTCAACACACATTTCACATTGTTGAAATTCAAAAATATTCATATTTATAGAACGTTTTTCTTCCTTTTCGACAAATGATAATAATCAGAGTTGTATTTTGTACATACCGTACATGTATCACTAAAAGTATGCCAAATAATGCTTGTGGGTCAAATATTTAGACAAAATGGTTTGTTGATTTTAAGAATGCACTCAGAGCACATTCAGAAAGCTATATTTTGAAATAACTTATATACATGTAAATTAAAATATTTATGGTCTGAATTTGCAAGCATTTCGAGAAAAAAAAAACAGGATTTGCCGGAATTATGCGTTATTTTGAATGAATAACTGGCTCACAGTAGTTTGTACCAGAAGTGAATCTTTGTGAATCCATGTTTTAGCAAAAGAAATTTGAACACACAATCAAATGGGAAACCAAATAACATTCAGATATTTTGAAAAGCAGTGAAATAGGGTGTTTTATATTTTTTCCACAATATTTGCAAATCCTGGCTATAAATTTACATGATATATCCCCAAGTTGGTATAAATTGCTACCTCATTAAGCTGAATACTCCTATCTTTGTGAATCCATGTTTTAGCAAAAGAAATTTGAACACACAATCAAATGGGAAACCAAATAACATTCAGATATTTTGAAAAGCAGTGAAATAGGGTGTTTTATATTTTTTCCACAATATTTGCAAATCCTGGCTATAAATTTACATGATATATCCCCAAGTTGGTATAAATTGCTACCTCATTAAGCTGAATACTCCTATAAAACAACACTTTTTTATTCCTGTGGTGCACAATAGGGAAATTGCAAAATGAGTTCTGGTACCCCCAATTTATATTTTGTCATTTATTTGATGGAATACCTTTCACTATAAAAATATACATGTATATTCCAAAATATCATGGCAATTGCTTTTGATGACTTCATGAAGTTTATGCCCTGTAATATGACCCTCTGCGAAACTCTACTTTGGAAGCCATTTTGGTTTGGAAAATAGGCAAAATGCATTACAAAGAATAACAAAATAATAAAAATTATGTTGGTCATAACCATTCTTGATTAACCGGTACAATAATAATGAACACGTACATGTTCAACATATTGTCTTATTTAGCTGATTGGTCATAACACAAAGCAATGTTTCTGAGACCCCAGCACAACCTAGTCAAGATAGTTACTTTAATTTTACCTTCACACAGGACTATGCTGCAGTTAGTTCCAGTGATATCAAGGACATGGAAAATGTTAGGAATCATCTGAGTAGTATGTTGAAACTAGGAAAAGAATCTGTTCCAGGTGAGAAAGGGAATTCACTTAAAGCTTTGTATAACATTTTTACTTTATCTCATGTGTTCACACTAGTACGGTATAGTACTGTATGTCAGATATCAAATCCCTTGATTTAAATACTGGTAGTTTTAAGGTGGAAGCCTACTCATAAATGCAAATACCCAGAATTTATTCATTTTTCAATAAATTGTATTTTCAAGCAATATAAGGATATTGACAAAGTTGAGACACTAGCTTAATTTTCAGGAAAATGAGGGTTGTATTTTAGTGGCAGTACATGTATTACATATATAATGCTTTTACCATAGGTTCCTATGGCAGAGAAATGCAATATATCAAATTGTAGGCAGGTGACATAGGCTGAAAAAATTATATATATATGAATGATGGGGTACTTTTTAATGTCCTCAATTATTTTAAAATACCTGGATTTTAATGATGTCAAAAAATGCAATTTTTCTTTGTGCTCTATGGAATTGTCCTAAAAATAATGATTTTTGAAAAATATTTAAGTTTCTCAAAATACATCACTTTAACGCACAAAAGAATGCTATTACATAATGCCATGAAATAATAGCTTCATGATTTTACATAATAGACCAATGAACTATGTCATGCGATTTATGTCCAACTTTCTCAATAATTATCCTTACTGAAATTATATACACTAAGCTGCTGCTTTTTTTTGCAAAGATTTTTTTAACTGTTTATTAATTAATCACCAATAAAAATACTAAAAAATTATGTTCAGTTTCAAACGAAGACAATGCTTTTCATAAAATTTTCCTTTCTGGACTATGGTATTTTAATGATGGCTGCAGTTGTTAAACTCAAAGAAATTCAGCCAGTCAGGTCTTGGGTCAAAGACAGAGGAGGACCATATAACTGGAGATGCTTTGCTCAATGTTCATCATTGAAACAACAATCCATAGTCGTCTCTGTGAACTTGTGTATTATACTATGAACATTCCATCATCCAATGACATACATATGAGAGCTTGTACAATGTAATTCATATTATGATTCTCGTAATGAAATGCATCGCACTTAAATATGTTTTAACAGATCGAGACAATTTTGATCATACCTCCGACAGTGTACATGATTTGATGTCAGCTAGTCAGATCATGGACCCAAGTCATCATAAAGAAGACTCATTTGATAGTGTGAAAACTGACGTTCTGATCACGTAAGTAATTCACACCCACTTTATCAATACCATGTGTAAAGTGCCATAAATTATGCTACTTTGATGTCTATGTACAGTGCAGAGGTATGTTATAAAGATCTTATCCTGTGCGTGTCAGTCAAACATATTTCTAACCAGTGCCATCACAGAATGCAGTGGATGCATAGAAAGGTTCTATTGGATAAACAAAAATGAGGGAAATTATTCTTTGCATAAAAACTACGCTATGTAAATAACACCATAGACAATTGTGCAGGGTATTACTGTAAATGCATTAATTGTTCTTTGGTTTTTTAATTTTGCTATTTTCGCTGACAACTAAAATTCACTAAATTAAATCTAACTGGACATGACATGAACAATAACAATAGAACTCATTGTTTTGCTACCGAATCTGTGAACCTAAAAACCAATGAAATTGTTGAAAATACAATACAAAACATATTGTATGTACCGGTAATAAGTACTACAATCTTTGGTAGGCCACAGTCCTTCTATAAGGACTCTATAGGGACTGTGGATAAACCAATACTTTTACTAAGGTTATGCTCAGACATAAAGCATACATGTAAAGAACACTAGTTTGACTTTTACTTTCTCTGCTTTATTTTTGTTTTAATCACAGTACATCATACTGATCTTTTTGTGTTTTATTTACATACCATTAAGCACTTCCAATAAAGCAAATACGATACATGTTTTTAAATTTTACGTGTTACATATTGATTGGTTTTCTATTTATGTTTTAGTGCTATGCCATATCAAGATATTTCCCCTGTCCGTAATATTGGTTATGACAGTGGATTAAGTCTCTCCTCCCAGCTGTGTAACCATTCTAGTTCAGCTGCTGCCACTGTGTCATCTAAAGTGACAGATACTACACTATATACTGAAAATCAACTACTCAGGGAAAGTGTGGAAAGAGAAAAATACAGAAGAAAGGTTGGTTCAAAAATTTTGTATACATGTACAATGTATGTTGCTGAATTATTATCAATTATTTTGAGAAAAATTATACATAAAATCTTTACCCATATTTAATTGTTAATTGCTACGCTGAGCCGAACTACTGCTCCTCCCACTGATTAAGAGGAGATTATCTCTAATGCTTTTACCAGGTCGGGCCAAATGAGAGCCAAGATCCGCCCTAAGTCAATCAAGTTGTTTCAGAGCCGAACGAAACAGCGTCTCAATTATTTAGTATGAAAACAATTCTGTTTTTTTATATTGCATAATGCATGTCAGAGTATTATCCTGTTGAGCTGAGAGAAAAAAGAAACAGTCATGAGTCTGAGACAATGCACTGGTGTAGGTATCTCGAATAAACAGGATACGCAGCAACTAATATACGCTTAGATGTGTTACAGCCAATTCGCTTAAGTTATTATCATGACAATTTACCGTCTTTTAATTGTTTAACTGTTGTGATTTGTGTAACAATTGTTAACCTGAACCTAGAAGAAACATGTCGCCGTTCCGTGACCACTTCTACGATTTTTATCTTTGATGTCTTAACAAATTAAGAATCTTCAATTTCCATTGGATCTGTTCAGCCATTCTTTCAAGTTTTGTTACATAATTTTTCATACATCATTTTCCTGTTTCCCATTGAGCTATCAATCATCACAGTATTTCGTTACTCTGCCAAATAGATATTAAGACTTGTACCTCTTTGAAATTACAATTGATGTTGTCTTCACCATAATTGAAATACGAAGACGATTGAGGGCGTGATTTTGGTCCGATCAATGGGACCATTGCGTTCAAACGGTCAGAGCCATGTCAGAGCCTAATCCTATCAGAGTTTAACCCTGCAGGTTTATTAGAGCAAAACTTGGCTTGAGCCGGCTTGAGTCAATTACGTATTCATGGCCATTTTTGCTGGCTCAAATCATGGGGCTCTGATAAAATGCTGTTGTGTAAACATAGCATGTATGGCACACTGACCCTTAATCTGTTTGCTCTCATTCTCATGACATTTCTCTGTGTTTTACAATAATTGACAGCACTGTGAAAAGCAAATTCAGCAGCTTCAAAGTAAATTATTAGAATCACAACAGCAGTTAGCAGTGGCTGTGTCTACTGATAGAAAGAAAGATATCATGATAGAACAACTTGACAAGGTAAGCACATCTCCACTTCATCGTGTACATTTTAATGTGCATCTTGGTTTGTGATTTATTTATTATGTTCAAATGGTTAATTCATGTTATTTTCTGTTTAGATAACTGAATGATAAGAGATGGGTTATTGGTTTTACAACATGGCACAAATCAATGCACACAAATACATTGTATTAGCCTCTAATAAGTGTGATAAGAGATGGGTTATTGGTTTTACAACATGGCACAAATCAATGCACACAAATACATTGTATTAGCCTCTAATAAGTATGATAAGAGATGGGTTATTGGTTTTACAACATGGCACAAATCAATGCACACAAATACATTGTATTAGCCTCTAATAAGTGTGATAAGAGATGGGTTATTGGTTCTACAACATGGCACAAATCAATGCACACAAATATTAGCCTCTAATAAGTATGATAAAAGATGGGTTATTGGTTCTACAACATGGCACAAATCAATGCACACAAATATTAGCCTCTAATAAGTATGATAAGAGATGGGTTATTGGTTCTACAACATGACACAAATCAATGCACACAAATATTAGCCTCTAATAAGTATGATA